GGCCTCTTCAATCTTTTCTTTTGGCTCCTCAACGGCTTTCTCAACTGAATCTTTGGGGGCCTCTTCAACGGCTATCATCGGAATCTCATTTGGCTCAACCAATTCATCCGGCTGGGTCTCCTTACAAAAAAGCCCCTCAATATGCTGCATCATCTCATCCACTTCTTTGGGGTCCTGCAAGAAGCACGCATGATTGGGGATGGTTGGGGTGAAAAAGCATCTGATAGGGCCTTCGAGGCCGGTCCATCAAGAACCTTCCCATGGTTGATCTGGTTGCAGCTCGGGGAAAGGCTTGGCTCAAAGTCCTGAATCAACAAATTTAATAGATGCAAAATTCATAATATGAAACACATCCGGTGTATGTCCTTGCTTCTTGAAGTGGCCACGGAGTCAAGGTCGTACGGAACGGTGTCAACAACATCCAGATCCGTACCTGAGAGATTTGGTTTGGCTAATTTCCAACCACTAGTCACTAGACCATGCATGGATTTGATCACATGTACATCGTGCAGCTGGGGTGCCCCGAGGGAATGGTGCAGCATCACTGGATGCAGGAATTGTGGCGTTGATCATAGACTGTGCTTCATCCAAGAGAAGTTTTTCCTCTTGTTCCCGAAGACTCTCAAGCAGAATCATTTGTTCCAACAATTCCTCTTGTTCACGGAGTACCTTGGCCTCACGTTCTAATTCAGTACGTTCCTCCTGCGATAGTGTTCCAAGCTTGGGGTCAACATCCACGACTGGTTCACAAGGTTTTGAAACCAGGTCCATCAATTGCTCAGCCGTTTGCCTGCAGTCTTGGCAACCAAAACCAACTCCCACAGGCAGAATGCGGTGTTGAAAGACCTTCTCTGCGCTGCCCAAATCCTCCAGGAGTTTTCCTTTCAGGTTGAAAAGGATCGTGGCAAACAAAATATTTTGGAACATAAGTCCAGTTTCCCCAAATAAAAGCTCATCAACCTCCCCCCAGGCAAGACTCGGTTGGACGGAGACGGCGTGCAGGCCACAGAAGAAGTACCTGGAGACTCTGCACACTTCGAAAGCAAGGCAGAGTGGAGGGAAAAGGGGCCTGGCCTTCATTAGGACGGGAGTCCGGGTCGATCACTTCATCTTCTACCTGAGTTCCCAGATAAACCTAGAACCCTTTTGACCTTCCATCTAAGTCAATGCCAAGTTGGAAGAACTATGACAAAATGTTTTCTAGCAAAGCTACTTCGGAGTCAACTTCACTTTCACTTGCTTCAGCTTCGCTGTCCCCAAGATCAGAGCCATCATCCGAGCCCTTTTCACCTAGGAAGGGATCGGTGGTGAAGGACAGATGGTCATATATTTGCACAAAACTATGCGCACACATATGGAACTTCAAAGCACACATTCTTCAAATATATAGCTGTGTCACGAGGGTTGAAAGGCAATGTCATGCCAGCAGAGCGGTAGATGTCTTGCATTCCACGTTCCCTAGGGTAATGTCCACGTCGTGCAGCTCTGTTGAACTCGGAGATTAGTCGACGGATGATCCAGGCCTGGAACTTGGCATGGTCACCTGGCTCAGCAGCAGGCTCTACATATATAGAATCCAAACTCTCGAATGTTTGTAAGGCTTGAAGTTGTTTGCCAAAAAATAGAAAGGACAAAAGTACTTATTCAACTGAACTGCTCGATAGAGGGGGTTTCCCTCGTGGACGAGCAAAAGCAAAGAACAGGTCCACTTCAGCCTTGATATTGGCCACCGTGACCCTGGTTCCCATAAATTTCATGATGGGAATGATCACATCAGCATTCGACACCACGTCGGCTCGACAAATGGACTTGGCATCACTGACCAGTGATAGCCTGCCAACAGCCGCTCGGTTCATCAGAACCTGAGACCCGGCCCACATCTCCGCGATAGGAGAAGACATGCTTGACACCTAGCTAGCTATATGGGACGTTTTGGATCCCCCTTCACAAAGCCAAATGCTGTGGCATTGAAAGCTGGCAGCAATGTGGTTGCAAAAAGATGTAACTCAAGAGGCACACGCACATCATACAGTGAAAGTCACATTGTACCCCAGCATACCCCAGCACCTTTGTAGCCAAAGCTAAATCCACACCAAGCCAAGTGCCTGCAATTTGGACACCGGTTCAATCAAGTAAGTTCCCATACATATGCACACACACAAGATCATGAGCAAAGAGCGTACCTCCCTTCCTCTAGTGGAATCCAAAGGAGCCATCCATGCCGTACCTCACCGGCAGGCAAGACATCTTCAAGAAGTACCACCTGTACTACCACATCATCACACAAACAATGGGAGGGGCGCACCACTGCACCCGTTCAGCGGCTTTCTCAATCCAAAATGGCCGCGAATCAAAAAATGCTCGAATTGGAAGAAAACGCTCGAGGTCATGACATTTAGATACGAATGGCTTTTAAGGATACGAAATGATCATTTAAGTAGCAAACAATAGGGGGGTCAAAAAAGAAAGGTACGTTGGATGCTCTAGGTACGAGCCTACGCATGTTCTGAACCAAACCCGATGTGTTCTGCGTCCGCGACCCAACACCCGACCGTCGCCGACCCGAAAGCATCATGGACGTGCGGAATGATATAATTGGGATACAACTTGGAAGCAAGATCATTGACATGCAAGTATACACGGAATCGATGGACTTTGCACCTTTTGCCAGAGTCGTGGGCCCAACACCGAACCAGGCCGTACTGGGCCCACCGGGGCCCACCAACTCAAAGGTCCCAACCTCCGTGTCCGGACGTCGACGTGGGGCGCCAGGCTGTTGGGCCAATCTTCCTTGGCCAGGCCACAGAGCTCGCCCAAGATGCGCGCCTCGAGCGACCCAACACGTGTCAGAGCGACCCAAAACCCCACGTGGAGAGCGTCGCGTCCGGGCGTCGGTCGCGCAGGAGATCGTGACAGTGGAACGACCACATGTAGAAGCAGGGTGGAAGCAAAGGGCTGCAGAGTCTCTGAAACCCAAAAAAGCTGACACTCATGGTGTTGAAGCAGCGGTTTCCAAGGGAAGAAAATACACATAGTATAAATACATGAGAAAAACCACTGTAGACACCTCTTCAATCCTCACACCTAGTGTGGGTGGTGCTTGCCTCAATGCTCTCGAGCCACTCCGGCTTCTCCACGGGTGGCACCTGCGTGCGGCAACAGGTGAGACCGTTGGAGACGGCAGGTGAGGGCAGTTTTGGGGTTCGCCCCCGGGGCCCCCCAAAAAGAATCATGCAAAGTCTGGTGCTCACAATCTGATAAATTGTTTCCAAAAAAGGGGCACCTCTCATCTTCCCTATGCTTCCAACCACCATTGATTTTCTTTTTAACCAACCAACCTGGTGTTGCTATAAGGTCCAACCGTGTCAAACCATTCGTCTTTGATGGTCTTGGAAGGCTAGGAAAGCTTTAGGGTCTTCCCTCTTTTTCCGCGGAGGCTGAAAGGCCGTGGCTGAGCCGAAGCATGTCATGCTCCCAGCGCCGCCGTGGCCGCCTCCTCCCAGCGCCCTTCGGTCCGTTCGGCGCGGGTCGTCGGCGGTGCACCGAGGCTTCACCGTAGGTATAGCGGCAGCAGCAGCCCGCTGTGACATACCTCAGGTCGACCGCGCAGGCCGGTGGGCGGCTCTGAGGTTTGGGAATGAAGCCGTTATAGTAACTGGTTGAAACAATTACAGTAGTCAGTGGGTTCAATCGTCAATCATCCCAAGTAAAGGTTGAACATAAACATATTAGTTTTGCACTCAACTCAGCTATCAAGAACGTCAGGTTTGGACCACCCAGGTTGAGGGTCAGGTATGTGGCCCGCAGGTCTGGGTATAGGTGTAGACCGCTTTGAAGAAAACACATCCAATAGGCAACCTGCCAATCTCTTGGGTTAACTTGTTTATGGCTCAGCAAACAGTCACAGGCTAACTCTGCTTTAGTCTCCAACAGGACTGCCAGTCAAAGCTGCCAGTTTCAAACCATGCCCCACAGCCACACTGGTCATCACAGCCACATCCGGAACCTTTCCGCTTCAGCACTTCAGCCTAGTGGCCACGCTGTGCTCCGGGTGACGGCTCCCGCCTTGCTATGCCTCGGCGTGGAACAGGACGGCTCGCAGTTAGCCCTTCCCCGGCCCGGCTTCATCGCTGAATCCAACCGACTCATACCAACTGAACTGATCCCGTCTTCAAATTCCTGATGCCTGGATCTGGATGTGTATCATATGGACCTGGTAGTTGCAAGACTTGCGACTCGGGCTCAGCGACCCCTGGAGATCCAAAGATTTCACCAGCATCTTCGGTTTACACTTCCCGAATCGAACATCGATCATCGTCAGAGAATGTGTCCAGAAATTCTGCAGTAGACTGCAATACTGTAAATTGGAAGCGAAGCAAAACGGTCTTCCCAACACACCTAATCCTGTCCATGTCAAGAAGTGAGGTGCAAGTTAAGTGACCCTTCGCGAGTTTAATCCTAGGGTTCTAGTGGATGGTGGCTGATACTACGACCAGCCTCTGCTGTCACTGGATCCACGACCCATCCTGCGCACTGAGCTCTTGGCAGCTTTTGCCAATCCGCAAAGGCTAGCAGCCGTTCGAACTCCTCACCACCAGCCGTTTCCCCTGTATCCACACGTGACGAGGGTGTGCGCAGCATTAGGAATGGGAACAAAAGAACGGTGTTGAAGCCATCGACAAGATCTATTCTGCCATGAATATAGGTCTCCTACTAGGTCTCCTCTCTCTGTTTTGCCACCGAGGTGAACGGAGGTTGGGGACGTGACCACGCTGGCTTTGGATGGTAGCTCCCTTCTCACAAGGTACTGTAGACTTTCATATGAACTCATGTCATCTCACATCCATATTGCAAAACTCCAAATTTGTGGAACACCAAGTCCCTCAGGTCGCTGCTCCACAGCGGCCGCTGCATGCGGCGGTCAGTCCGCAGGTCCCGTCTCCTCTTGGAGCAAAGCTTCTGACACCGACCTCTCGGGGCGACGCCGGAAGAACCGCCCAGATCAGCAAGCCACTGCAACGGCTGAAGCTACGAACGGAACAAGGAAGCGACGAACGGGGCAGCCTGGCATCGCTACGAACGGAACAAGGAAGCTACAAGTACTAGGGGCTATTGGAAACCTTGCGAAGTGGCCGTCACGAATGATGCACTCTCCAGGCTTGACTAGGCCTAGGCATGATTCATGAGCGTTACTTGAGGCACCTTCCTATATTATATATATGCGTCAAATTGGACTGACGGATATGGACGAATCATACAAACATACAAACAATATATTATAGTATTACAGTATATAATTTAATTGGTTTGTTCAACTTGTTTACAATGCGCGAGCATGCCAAGAGTTCAGTGAGTGATAAAACCCGTTGTTTTCACACCAAACTGGGCCGGTGAGATGCGTCAACTGAACCCTTGAAGAATGCTTAATAAAAAAAGGGTCCAAGGGAAATCACGCACCACATGCGGCTGTGAGTATGTACAAATGTGACCAACACCCAACACTCAACACGTCAACTCCCTTCGGGTCGCTTCTGCATTATATGCGGTGCGGGGACATCTGTGCGCCTTCGCTTCAGGAAGCAAAAGGATCTCCGCTCCAAGTCTTCGATGACGGCCTGAGCAATGCAAAGCAGGTTCTTTTCCTGCGGGTCCCGGTGTTCTTTCTGGGAAACACACTCAGTATCCGTGATGCAGTACTATACAAGGCGGCCACTGTGCCATCACGATAATAGATGCTCTGTCTTTCTTTCTTTATGTTTGTTTCTCTCTCTCTCTCTCTCTCCAAACATACATATCATACCGCCTTGACTGGTTTGGCAAAGAAACATATTCTACAACATGTTGCTGGGGACCCCCCAGAGTGCGTCCGTTCCCTACAAACATGTTGAGTTCACAGAACTCCGAACTCCTCACGTCGTCTTCACGCCACTTTGCCGAACTCCGCTCCTCCCAGCCATCGCTGCAGTCTCGCAGGAGTGGCAGGGGCCTCAGCTCGGCCAAAGGGCAGGCAGGGCCCTTGAAAGGACCCCTTGTCTTTCGTCGTCGCCGCTTCTTGGGCGTCGGTCCAAGGGTTCCCCAGCGATGTTTATTATTGGAGCTATAGAAGAGTTGAGTTCAATAGCAATGGTGCGGTGCCCAAATGATCCAAATCCATTCGCAGGGTAGACCTACTCAGAACTCATCCGAACTCCGGTTGTGTCAGAATCTCATCGCCAAAGTTCCCTCTATGTCATGGCAGAAAACAAAGTATTTATCAAGATTTATCTTGTGATACATACGCCTCAAAAGTGCCAATGAATAAATTAATGCAAGGCAGGACAATGGGAAACATTTACAATACAACACATTACAAAACAATTTTGGCTTTGGGGGGACCCCTTAGGAATTGACAGGCTTTGGCGATGGACCAGTTCTCCTGCAGAACTGCGGAACCTATGGAGAACATGTGAATCATACATATCGGATATCATCCCGATCGATACCCATAGCGTGTCGAATTACTTGCATTTCGTTCATAGTGTGCCAGAATCTTGGAGAAACACCACTTTGCAAAGCCTTGCACACCGTGTGGCACAACAACGGTACACCAGTACACCACTGTCAACTCTTCCTGTTTAGAGGTACCAAAAACATTGACTACTATAGTGATAGGAGCATTGCTGCTATTTGTTTTCTTTCTATAGAATGCATTACAGAAACCGTTAACACCCCCTATTCTATTTGCGACACTGGAGGTCACGCCCTGTTGTCCTCGGAGCGATACTGGCGGTTCGACCCGTCCGATGCGACCCGTCGGCCGCTCGTCCAAGGTGTCCTCCTTCAGTGGCTCTGGTGCTCGAGGCACCTGGCCGTTGGACGGGCCTTCGTGGCTCGGGAGACTCTGTCGGTGTGCTCGGTACATTGCATACATCTAACTGATCAAGGTGGCCTCAAAAACAAAACGTTGAATATATTGGATTCATCTTGGATTCCCACAGCCACATCTCACTGCTTTGGTGATCTGATTTCTTCCAGAAGCGTGGCACCGAGCACCTTCTGCGAACAGTCTCCCAAAAACCCATTGGAGCAGGAACCGCACCCAAACATGGGGACAGGACAGGACGCAGCACTCCGAAAACATCCGTGCCCCCATGGCTGCCGACGTCCCAGCTCGGACACCTGAAGCTCCGGCAAGGGGCTCTTCCGGCGCACTTCCTGTAGTCGAAAAAACAGGTTGAAGGGAAAGAGGTAGTCTTCCGTCAGGTCTTGTTGTGAGTGTTGTTCGTGCGAAACGACCAGCCAGTGACTACGTCTCAATCGGGGGCACTGATGTCGACCCTCTCCCATCTCCGGGATCTTCATGCATGTCGATTCCGAGAGCGATCACCGATCACCGATCCCATGGGCACTTGGGATGGGGATGTTTGGTTCCATGTTCTGACCACCATGATTCGTACTTTGGAAAAACAACCATGATTAGTATGTGTCCTCAGAGCCTAGCAGCTGGGTAGCCTAAGGTAGGGTAGCCTATTGCACAGCCTGTTGTGGAGGTTCGCGCGATCAAGGCGGGCAAAGGGGGGCATCTTTGGACCTAGCCCTTGTTCCGTTCGCTCTGCGATGCCCTTCGGAGCCCCGGAGCCGGCTAGCGTCCGAGTTGCCGTAGCATCTTGGCCTATTGACAACCCTCTGCAACTCCTGGATAAGTTTGGAAATAGCTGCTACTGTAGCCAGCACAAACTCATTCAATGCTGCCAGGCTATATACCTGGGTTGTAGCTGCCACGCGAAGATCCACAACCAACCCCAGTGCTCCTTCTTGTTTATAACTCTAACTCCCTTGTCATGTCCAAATCATCTGTCCCGAGTCCCGCTCTCCTTTTCGGAACTCCCCCCCGTTATGTTACCTCCTCCTCATCTCCCCCGTTGTGCCTCGGCCCCCACGGGCCACTCCCGCAGTTGCAGCTGCGTGGACCAGCGCAAGGCAGCGACCAACTGGCAATGAGACGCATAGAAAGATCAATCGCTCGTGGAGTTCTTTCACCCATCAATCCCGAAGCTTCCTCAACTCCATGAAGCCGAGTTGAGTTGGCCACAGGATCGAGAGCCTTCTCGGCAGAACTCTCGAGCCTGTTCCTCAAACCAACCACTTCCACTTCCGTTGCCCTCTGCGCCGCGGAGCGCCTCAGGGCCGGTGCCCTGCAGCTGTTGAATTCGAGGACAGCCTGGAAGTGAAGCAGAGGACACCCCGAAGAGGCGAAGTCTGGGGTAGGGAAGTCTATCGATGGATGGATACCTTCAACAGTGCAGTGCCGCACCAAACGTGTGTTCTGCTGTCGAAGGTAGAACACCTAACCAGGTTGATATCTTCAAATGGATTTATCAAGTGTTCTGCCTTCAACAATACTAGTAGGCCGCACGGGTCAACGTGAACATCTGCACAGGTCCTTCTTTCACTGGCCGAACATTCTCTATACAAAATAAAGCAAACAAAGTACATCAAACTACTCTAGCGTTAATAATATACATTAAATATACTTTAAGCTTTCTGTAACAGTGTGGTGTGAATTTGGCAAAGAGATGCAAGCAGGTCTCAATCCAAGGGTTAAAAGGTTTGCTTCAAGGGAACTTGGTGCATGCTCCATTTCGACCCAAACAAAACACATACAGTAAGACACTTCAGACACTTCTGCCAGGCATTCCAAAAATGTAATTTGGGAAAACACACATACATAACCAAAATCTGGTGCATACATGTGCCTACTACCAGTATTGTCCACTGGATTGGGTCTCAGCACATTTGAGAACACCAATTCCAAATTAATTCCAGAGGTCCATTCTGAACATTTCTCAAAGTTCTCCATGGACTCCATGGTGGTTCACCTGGAAAAACCCGTCCCAAATCTGGACAAGTTCCTCTCCGCTCCGCTGGCTCCGCTCTCTCCGCGCCTAGGAGCGTGGAGATGGGCACCCACCCACCCGACGAGCCGCGGATGAGCGCCTGAGCCGTGGCCGGTCGATGAGCGCCTGTGTGGCGGTGATCTGATCCGATCAAGCAGGCTTGTGTGGCCCTTAATGGAGTAACAAGTGCATCGTTACTAGTAGCAAGTGCAATGAAGCTACTATAGTAGTAAGGCACTTGTTAACTAGTAGCGATGCACTTGTTACTCCTTCAAATGGGTGCAAAACACCAAACTCAATCATACCCTCAAGGTAGTCCTCCCTGCTGCTTAGGTGTAGTGTTGCCGCTTTTCTCATGCCTGAAAAAAGGCGTCGCTTGCCAGGTTCTCATCACTCAAGTAGTACTCCACCTGCAGCTATGCGAGGCACAAGCTGCAGAAAAGCTGATTCCTACTAAATGTGTACTTTTGGCATATACTGTAGAATCATATGATTGGACTTTGAATCAAATCGGCTCAGAGTTCCAAAGCAAGGCTGCCCTGCCAAAAGTGTTGTTTGGGAGTTGAGGGACTCGGTTGATGCACAAGGACGCAATTCCAGTTTCTGACGCATGTGACTGTAACATATACTGTAACTATTGTGTTTTGTTCTGCAATGAACTGATCAAAGGCATCCACCATATGATGCAAAAAATCACCGCTCTTGAGAGCCGCGTGAACCACTTCGGGCTCTCCGCCTGCAAGCGCAGCTTTTCAGCTCGGAGTGCTTCCGACTCCTCCTTCCGAGTCTGATGAGGGGGGGGTCCGGAGCGATGCATGGTGTGGCGGAATCGCTGAGGGTCGACCCAAACAACAAAAGAACAAGAGAAACAAAACCCCCTCGATGACCCGGGGCATCGCTACTAGGAGCAAAGACGCTACTAGGGGCTCCTGGCATCGCTACTATAGGAACAAGAAGCTACTAGGGGCTCCTGGCCTTACTACTAGGAACAAGAATTGTGCTTTTCTCCCGTTCTCCTTGGGCTTTTAATGGAGTCAAAAAGCATTGTCTCCAACCGTGCACTTAGTTCCAGCCGATCCGGTTGACCTGTTCCTGGCACTTGAGTGCATGTCTCCCTACCCTCCACAGAATCCATCAAGTTCACCCGAAAAAAAAAGGTATAGTATCAAACACCGGAAACCCACGCCTTGAGCTCATGCGAGAACCTTGGAGTGAGATCAAGCTCACAGCTCGGGCTGGAGGTGGAGAATATCCAACTGAGCTTGTTCTGAGCCAATTCCCAGTGACCCCGGCAACCGGAGATTTTTACGGAACATCAAGATTAACGTGTTTCAAACCCATCAGGTTTGAGTGTTTGAGTGGGGAAAGCAATTCCTCAAGAAGGTCAAAGGATTATCCACTCACTTATATAGTTCTATCAGTTCTATCACACTATCTTTGTTCTGGGTAGAGAGATTCTCGGATTTCGAGGACTTGATGACCTGAACCCATTCACGTTGCAGGATTCTTTCGACTGGAGGTGTGTGGATCTTCAAGGATTGGTCAAACTGGATGGAAAGAGTTCTCAAGATGTGTCAACATGATCAACATGGCTCAGCACTTTGCTGTCAAAGGGACACAGTGTTTGCTTGGTACATATTGCCAGTTATGTGTCAGGTTCAGAAGGACTCTCATGGTCAAAGTCAAGTCAGCATCTGCAACCCTTAGGTGAACGTTCCCAACTCAACAAGTAGCCGATTCGGATTGGGGATTCAATTTTAACTGAGTTCCCAACTCAACAATATTAACTGAGTTTAAGTTTAACCTGCCTGAAACGTGAACTGAGCATCATCCAATTTTACTGTGTGGCAATGTCTTTGGTGCTATGTCTGCTATGTTCACCCGACCAGGACCGTGCTTTGGGTCCAGATTACACGTCGGCTGCAAAAGATGCATGCTAGCATAGCGCCAACTAAGCTTACATGGCAAGTGGCCAACTGCGCAGATTAGCCACCCTCAATGCTAAATCTTCAAAAGTTTTGTCACTGCGTTCCAAGATCTGTGCCAAACAAACTCCGTGTCGCTCTCACTACAGCTCAGATTTTTCGCTCGGCCGATGCTTGTGCTCCACCAAAACCTCGTAGTAGTCATTGAGCCCAATATTCAACGCCGAGTGCAGTCGCGGCAGCGGCGTTGGTAACGTCCCGACGGTCGGTTCCAATAGGTCGCCCTTCACGCGAAAGCCCTTGGTGCCCTCGGCGCGGAAGTCGAAGAGCCTCGTGCCCTGCCAGTCATAGACCTCGAGTTGGGTGGGTATGATGGCAATAAAATGGTAGTCCAAATCATGGCGATGAAGGGATGTCATACCACCCGGTGGCAAGGTAAAGTTCCAGACTCGCACGAGGTCATCCTCAAAGATCACTTTGGAACCCACGTAGCCATCCATCTCGCATTCTTGCCCTGGTGCGCAAGGCTTGGCCATCTCTCTCAACTCGTTTGTTGGAATACAGAGTGCACGCTGCACGCCAATGAGCACTGCAAGCCTTTTGAACATGGCGTGCTGGGTGCACCCGCGTCGCTTCGCAGGCGAAAGCTCGGGGCGATTCCCTAAAACCGGAGCTGAGACAATAAAACGGCCATGCAGGTCGGAGCAGGTTGTAACAGGGCCCAAAATGGTGGTCCTTAAGCCTGTTTTTGACGATCTTCCTGTGCCAGGCTAGAGTGACAGCGTCAATCCATATATCAGGGGATGTGTCAAGGCCCCATGTCCAGATCCGTATCTACAAGTTTGATGTTTGTTTGCTTCAATAGCCAAAAGGCATCCCGCTTGGTCTAGAAACCCATTAAAGCTATGCCACGCCATGTGGTTTCTGTATCTACCCATGTGATTGAGAGCATCAAACGTCGGCAAGCAATTGGATTGACCGTTCCTCAAAGGAAAAAAATATGATCGTTCTTCAAAGGGACAGTGTGACACCTGATCAATCACTTGCCTCGATGGCTCGATATGCTTCGGGGTCTGGAGTATTTCATGATGTCACAAATTAAACCCCATTGCTGACACGTGGCACTACATCCTTAGTGCTTAGTGTCACCTCCAAAGCCACCCCAAACATGTTTGGATTCTATTCTATGCCGGTCATGAGTTTTGTAGTTACTATGTTCACAACAGCGAACCAAACGCTCCGGGAGCCAGTCGTCTCCATAGCCACCTTGATGATGCAGTTGTATATACTGCTTTCAGAATAAATTGCGCAAACCCAAACATGGCTTTTATGTGGAGGTCCATATAAACCCACCTACTTTTGGGGATTGCCATCTAATGCCATCTACTCTGAAACCACATTACAGTGAGGTTTGGGGATTGCCCCATCCTCTGAGCATCCCCGGCGGGCAGGCCGCACCCTTGACACATTTCCCAAAGCGGAAGTAGTGACACGTCCCAGCCTCGGCGGTCGCGTCGTGACGAAAAGGACGAGTCGCCCACGGACCCCGGTATGACCCCATTGACTACATTGAGGCAGGGGAACCAGAAAGCAAGGAAAACACAAGGTTTGAACTCTGTTTTGTCTTTTTGTTTCTCACGTGTGAAACAGTATTTCTTGGGTTTCTGGATCTTTCGGTGTGCCTGCATGTTGTTGTTTGGGTTTCCAAGATATGTGTTGCTTTTCCAAAGAAGGTTTCATGAGTTTTATACACGGTTCAATCAATTCCATCAGGGGCCATGAGGGGCCTGAGAGCTGGTTCACCTGTAAAAAAACAGACATGTAGCTGGTTCGCCTGAAAAATCTGCCACGAAAACGAGTCAAAATCAAACATATGTTGCAACAAACGTGAAAAAAGCCATCAAAAGTCTTTGGGGACATTGAAAACTGAAAACGTATTGAACAACATGGAACAACCCATCCAACAGCTACTCTAGAACACGCCGTCATCGGAGTCTGGTCCGTTTCCGACACGTCGGACCTGGTCCCGGATGCCGGAAGATGGATCCCTGGAACATCAAGGAGTGTGAACTTGACACCTGTTGCAGCCGCATTGCAGCCTGTTTCATGGGGAAACCTTCCACAGACCTCCACGGTGGCGATCCACAGACCTCCATGGATCCTTGGAAGACGGGCCCCCGTTTGCTTCGGGCTTTCGAAGGCGCACGCTTTCGGGATCGGACCGACCTCTACCGTTGATGAAACGTTGTTGATTCAAACTGCTATGTCCTATATATGGTTGATTTCTCCGCCCGCACAGGTCTGAGATTCATCTGCCGTCATCCCCCGATTTCGTCCATGTGCTTCCCAACACCAGTATCCCTTTAATGTCCGCATATTTCCACTCAGGGAGGTTAGGATTCTCCTCACGTTGAAGAAAAACCTGCCTGCAAAGTCCTGCCCCATGTGTTGCATTATGAATCAATCCGTCTATGCCATACATATATCATATATATATATATACGTTGAATTATACTTATATGATATGTTGGTAAGCTTGAGCTTGAACCCCAAGAAAACACAAAGTCAACATGATCCGTTTGCGGTAGGATGTTCAAACTGTATGTGTGTGCTCTCCGTTCTCTTGGCAAGTGGTCCTCTTCTTTTAACTTGTAGAGTCAGTTTCATGTCAGTTCTCTGAGAAAATAATGTTAGATAAACAGTGGATGGATGGATGGATGGACGGATGGATGGATGACGGATGTATTAGATTAGATCGGCAGGAAACATAGATAAAGGTAGTAAGAACATGGCTCGGCAATAGATAAACAATTGGAAGGAAAACTAATTAATCAAATAGTTATATGTCAATATATATAATAAGGGTTTGGAGCTTTCAATGATTCAACTATCTTCTCAGCAGGTATTTATCTGGATCCTAAGGAACTCGAACCACAGCGGCCCGCGGCAGCCCGTTCACCGCACAAACCGCACAATTAGCGTCGACCTTGCTCGCTCCATGTTCAGCCACCCCCGCTCCATGCGTGTCTCGTCTCGGCAAAACTGCGCGTTTGGCGACGAACGGTCTGTAGCACTCAGTGTTGGTCCAACCAATCCCTTCTGATTGCAAGTACCTCCTTCTTTGAGGGTCATGTCCCTTTTCTGGAATCCTAGGATTGAACATCAAGTCAACATAGGTACGTTGTATATAGTATAATATATTATATAGTATAATACAAGAGTCAATAACCAAAAACTCACGTTGAACATCCTTTGGAATCTCATGAACATATTTCAGGAACCCGAGTGCTTGGTTCTAGATTTGGGACTTGCGAGTGCTGCAGACTCAAGACATCTTCAGCAAGCCACACTTCTTGCTTGTCTTCCACCATTGTGGATTGACAGTGTGCCTGAGAATCGGTAGCTGTGGCATCGCCTGCCTTCAGTACCGTCAGGGATCCAGCATCCCGAGGACCTCGTTTAGTCCATGTCGGACTCCTCATCTGCCATTCCACGGATGTACCTCGTCGACTGGGCGATTTGCTTCTATGCCATTCTCCAACTCATGTAAGTAATGGTTGCAGTGTGTTTTTGTGGCAACATTTCTAGAATTTTGTAGATACTGTATAACTCTGTTTCACTTCGAGCCATGTCCCCGCTACGTAACAAATCCTCTGGTCGTTGGTAGAGGTGCGTCGTTCAACCTCAATTGGACATGGCTGCCATGGCCAGCCCGAAAATATATAGCAATACTCTCCAGTACGTGCTCCCTTTCTCCGCTATATATTCATCACTGCCAGTCACTGCGCAAAGGCTTTGCCCAGCCCTGCCCTGCCCATCACTGCTGCGCCCAGTAGCAGGACATTGTTGCAGCGGATGAAGACCTCGCCCAGGTTTCCACGGAAGCTTCCGTCCACCCACTCCTGGACGGCCCGGCCAGACTGGTGCGGCCCGGCCTCGACGAACGTTTTGGGGAGGGAAACTTCCACGAACGAGAGTCACTCCTTACTGGATCCAGCCGGTTTCTCATTCCCTGCTAAGCATGCTAAGCTGGTTTTCTACACTCCGAGTCACTCAAAATGGAAGTGGATGGCACCACCTGGTTTGTAGAGGATGATGAACATGAAAATGGATCTTTCTCGGGGCCATGCCATCCACTTCAGTGGGACTGGACCAGCGCAGCAGGCCCCAGGATCTCGTGAGATCTCATGATCTTTGGCGATCGAGTTTCGGGGAGGAAGGATGCTGGGCACTCGAGGATCTGAGGGGATCTGGATTTGAGGAGTTCCCAAGTGGAACGTGGTGGACCCAAGGACCATCAAGTCATCCATCAAGTCATCCCTCATCCACCCTCATCTCTTTCAGAAAGCCAGTTTGGAAACCACGGAACTTGGAACCTCTCAATCTCACTCTTTCTCCTTCTTTCCTTATCTGATCCGAACATGACCCCATGTTCACCACAACTCACCCGTCTCCTCCGTGTTCAAGAGCTGCAGATTCATGTACTGATCAATGGATTTCAGGGTGCCCTTGTACTCCATACCTGCGGAGTCCAGGGCACCGGGCGAGCGGAGCGGACGACGGAGAAGACCAGCCATGTGTGAAGACCATCGTTGTAGTAGGGTGGTCAATGCCTCCAACGAGAATACTATAGTAGGGTGGTCAATGCCCACTCATTTATGAGAAAACAAACATGTACAACAATCTGCCAGGCTGTCGTTTTTCTTGTTTTTTTCTGTTCTTTTGGAGGGTAGGTGTGCTAAGTTTCATTATTGTTTGGTTTGAAGTACCCAAGGGAACTACAGGCCTTGCCAATCAATCCCACCCATTGCCTCCTGATCAAGAACCGGTTGAACCCTGGCAATCCATGGTTGCTAAATGTTGCTAATGTTTGCTATCCCAAAGATGAGCTACTTTGGAGCTATTCAAATCACAACAACATTCTCCACTTACGCTCAAAAGTAGCAACCTTTGACTGGTGTTGACGTTGACTCGACGTTGACCTTTTGATGGCCCAGTAAGGCAAACACAGAACAAGAAAGGCCGTCGACTTTTATCAATTGTTCAACACATAAGTCTCCGCGTTTTTGGCGCTAAACCATTGCAAAAAAAACAAACAAACACGCATTGATTTTACATTTATGTGTGCTTCTTTTCTTTGTAGAGCTCAAAGGGTCATTAGCGACCTAGTTTGTAGCTAGAAATGGTTTCTTTTCTTTGTCAGCTAAGGATCCCCATTTCAACTTCACCAGCACCAATTTGCCTCGGCCAGCCACGGGCGGTGGGTCTTGGATCCGTCACTGCCACCTTTTTCGGGGGGGTGGACGACCTACAGCCCAGCAGAAGCAGGAGCTGGACTGTTTGGTTACCCCTACAATTGGGTCATAAATCAAACAAATGCAAGCACCATGGCTTGCCTTGGAGACAGAACAACTTTCAAAGACTTCTACCGAGTTGACCAAGAAAAAGCCAATGGATGTTGCTAGTCTAGAGTCTGGAATGCAATTTATGTGACATTGTGTTAGACGTTCCAAGTGCTCCATGACTTGGAATGTTGAAGGAAGTCAACTCATATTAACAACACAAATGCATCTGTGTCTAATCATATATAGTATAGTAACCCAATAGGCATTATATGACATGTTGTTGTACTGTTCATCTATATATATATATATGTAATTAGTATATCGTATAATACCTACCAACGACCCCTAGACCCCGCACCCCAACTGATTTGTCATGCTAGTCCCATCAGTCGAGTCTTGTAGTCTTGTCGTCTTAGGCCCAGCAACTGAGAGTCAGATCGAGGGATCGGGTCTCATTGGCGGGGTACAAGGTCCCAAACACAGTTTATAGTATATAGTTTATATAAGTTATAGAACAGCACGTGTATATAATGCATTGTAGACTTTTAATAAATCAACAAAGATTGAAGCACGCGCATCATTGATAAGTGTTACAATCCAAATGCTCCTTTTTCAGTTTCTCAAATCTGGTCACCTTGACATACCTTTGACATCGTTTTCTCCGAAGACACCGGTCAGGTCGTTGAGGAAGGGCTTTGGGTTCACTGGCACTGTCGCCATGGCTCGCTACTCGCCGCGAAGACTCGGGGAGCGGTTATATCTTCGCTGTGAGCGGCGGCGGACGAGGGATCAAGCTCCTTCTGTGCAGATGGTGATGCCTGTTTTTGTAGCAAGGGAACCAACACCAGTCGTGGCCATGGAACATGTGGGTGGTGGGTTCTGAGAAGTGGGGAAGAATCAAGATGTTGTGTTTTGAACATGATCACCATCACCGGGATTTCTCAGGCACCGGCCAACCGAGTATTCCGGGGTGCTGATCAGGAAAACGATGAACTCCAATGGCGTGCTGGGGTCAGATGTTTGAAGTACCTTCCTTTCAGGAGTCGCAGCCGATTCACCGATCTACGGTCCATCTCTCGAAGGCCCGACGGTATTGGAGGGATGTGTAGTGACCGACTCTGCACTCTGCAGAATAAGATCCAAACGCCTCTAAATAGAAAAGGACCATTTCCATCCATTTCCTATGCCTGTGTTAAAACCAACGCTCGCCACCCAAATCATCCTGGCTTTCTCGTTCCCGCGCTGTGTTCCCCGGGCGGGTCGTTGCTGCACGCGCGGCGTCGTCTGCCCCTCGCTCTGCCGCTCCCAGACATGGCGCAGCCAAATCGTCGGACATCGGTCACCTGCGAGGTGGTCAGCACGGGGTTGGATGGTGGGGTGAAGGAAAACGGGGTGGACAGGGGGTTCTGGGATTTGAGGCTTTAGGGACGGAAAGCCCAGAAAACGTTGAGCTGAAACGTTGAGCCAGCTAAAGAGGACCACCTACTGCAATGGAAAAGAAAACACATACAAATTTTGGGCCAGGAATCCAGGAAGCAGGAGTGTTCGCATGAACCATCCCTGAAATCGGAGACAAATTTTGGGCTTCTTTGGAAAGCCCAGCAAAAAAAAACAGATACATTCGGAGACCCATCCAGAAAAACACATTTCAAGCATATTCAAGCTATTCTGAAGGCAATTGGAGACAAACTCAGCTCCGTTGCTCCAGGATCCCATGCAACTCCACGGCTCCTTTTGGATGACACCACGACCAAACGTCGTCCCTGGTGCCCGGCTTTTAAAACCTCAGCAGCTTGATGCAGCTTTGGCTGAGATAAGTAGGCTGCACTTGTGGCAGAGGCCATTAGCCAAGCAAGTTCAAGTTGAAGCTACGATGCCTATAGATGCAAGCAGTTCTGGGAGACTATATGCTCAGGCAAACAATTCTGTTGCTTTGCATTCAAATCATTTATTCCAATGAATCATGAAATCACAGCGATTGCTGCATGAGTTCCAGGAGCATGCTGAACACCTGCACTTGCTCGCGTCCACGGGCTCACAGCTTGGACTTGCTCTCACCCAGCACACCCTCCTTCAGCAGATTGGCCACCTGAAACGTCGACGAAGCGTCCAACGGTGGACGGATCCCAGTCCGACGGTGGAACGGATCTAGGCGGAGGCATGAGATGAGTTGGGAAAAAGTTGTCTTCTGTAGGTGAAGTGGGCAGTCTCTCAACCGTTCAGAGCGACGGAAGTGGTGGCCTGCCAGCAAAATAGAAGGGCTAGTCATTGCTGGCCAATCACTGAGATCCCGTCCTCTTCGCCAGAGAAGCCATACTCGCAAAGAACCTAGGGAGACTCATGAGGAGGAACCCCCCTCAAAGGATTGCAGATCCTCAGCGACTCAGCCTAGTGGGGACTTCCGTGGCGGTGTATCTGAACTGACCAAATCAATGGTTGGGTCGGCCCTGATCAATTGCTGCATGCATGGAGTTGCTGCATAGTAGATGTTGTCCCATGCTCATCCGGGGCATGTCGCCCAGATCAGTTGACAAAGCACCTTCCGGAGTACACTGGCAAACAGTCTCGGGACTTGTGTCTTTTCGAGCGAACCCACATCTTTTTACCAGTCCGGAGTCTGGGTATACCCCCCCCCAAAAAAAAAGGTGAACCAACATATGAAGACCACAAAGCGTGTGGTTCAATGAGTGGGTCTCCCCTATTCTGATGCACCGCCTCCCACACCTCCTCAAACAAACTCCACCACCGCCCCCTCTCAGCTGCGCACGGTCCTCGTGTCGCCCCCGGGCACAGGGCTCGGCCGCGGCCTTTCGGTGGTCCGGTCCGAAACCACGTGGGAGACTTCAGGGTCTCCAAGCTGTTTGGTTTGGGACCCATCCTCGGGTCTTAGTAGATATTATGATCATCCCAACCAATGCATCAAGAAATCAGGAACCCACCAGCATTAATGTTTGGAGGAAATGAATCAAAGTAGAGTGAACAGTCCAAAATTGATGATCATCTGTCCATCATCAATAACTTTGTGGCATCAACAAAATCCAATATAAATTCTTGATGACTAGTATTGATGGATTTGCAATTTTTTAGACTCCGTTTGTTTAATGTTTATCATGTTGGAACCTGAGTGTTGAACTTCTGAATGGCAGATGTCCAGGCCACCACCCTCCAACGCTGAACTGAGAACAACCAATTGAGAGGATCCTGTGTAGGATGTATCCACAACCGACTCACTTTGCGCCCAAAATCTATCATCAAAAAACACACACATATCTAGATGATACCTTCGATAATATTCCTTCGATATGTCGGGCATTGTCGGGTCATGTTCAGCATGTCAAAACACCCAACCTCCATCGTTTTGCATCAAAAGTGCTCCATGCTGAGCTCCACACGTCACATTTGGTGACAAGCCCTCCATTGCATTCCATTTCGTTCAGTGGTGGGTGCAAGGTAAGAGTCTCATGAGTGCAACGACGCCATTCTTTCCAAAGCCTTTCTGTCAAGCCCTTTTTGGACATCACATACCTTCCGAGGATTCTGAGGTTTCTTTCTGAACATCAAAGCAGCGGTCGCCGTGACTCCGGCGGTCGGGCGAGGTCCCCGGCGAGGTCCCCCCGCTGACTCTGGGCCTCCAGGCGAGAGTCCAGGCGTCCGCTGCAACTTTGGCGCAGGAGCCGGTTCATAAAGCCCAGAAGCACCTGAGTATACTGCCCAAAAAGCCTGAGGTTCATCATGGTTCATCTTGGATTGAGGTTCAGGTGAGAACACTACTGGGTGCTTCCAAGATCTGCTAATTATATAGTCAAGTGAGTCAAGTGAAATATAGTGAACACATGTCAAGCTTTGAATAAGTGATTCACGTAACAAGATCTCCCACAGACTGACAGACTTTGCTGGGGTCCAAGTGAAGATCACTCTTCGACCTCAGGCCGCCTCAGCCCAGGACCTGGGGTTGGTTCAAAACCTCGGGCGCTGCGCAAACATGGAAAGTGTCCAGAAATGGTGCAAATAAGCAACAACCCTCAAGGCTCAGGCCTGCTAGTCTAGTTTGCTGGAATAATACCTACACAACATCCTCTGTCGCCAGTAGATAGCATGGCAAGTTCAGCAGCTGCAAACTGTGGCCATGCTGGAGTAAATAATATAGACAACTACTGAAATTTGACCATGTTGCTATTGGATGCTATTGGTTTCTTACATTTTACATCACGTTCCCATTCAAACGCAATAGATTCAAGTTGCAGCATCTCGTGACTGGTCACAAACTGACAGTAGGATGCATGAATCTGCAATGTAGTTGATGCATGTTGATGCTATGGTTATTGTTGCAGCTCTGTACCCTCCGAAGAAAAAAACAACAACATGTCTGAGTTGCCAGCTTCGCCGCATCTGGTTGTGAGGATGAGCCGCCTTTGAATGTATTGACCATCTTCAATCAAGCACAGCAGGGGCATGGCTGTGTGGGACAAAATCCCTCAAACCTTTGGTGGATAAGGTCTTCCTTTTCTTCGTGAATGTTGGTGTCTTCGTGAATGTGGGTGAGACTGGTCTGAGTCAGATTTAGTGAGGCTGGATGGCTGGATCCAGGAACTATGAAGTTCACTGAAATACACTCCCTGGAATCAAAGGAGAAGTGGGACAAGCCGAGGCCGCTGTCAGAGGAAGTAAATGAGCATGTTCATTCCGGGGGAATAGAACAAACGCTGACAAAAGACCAAACGCTGACAAAAGCCCTACCAGCTAACGAGGAGAGGTCAAAACTAAAGAAATGACATCCGGAGCTTCTGCTGACCGCCGGTCACCGCCGGTCTCCAGCCCCGGGGAATGACCAGGAGAAGGGGGTGAAACTGGAATTCCATGTAAGCCATTGTTAAGCCAGGCGTCCATGCACTTTCTCCATTTGGGGGCTAACGAAGAAGCTTCTCAACCAGCCTGTGTGATGCACTCGAAAACCAAGCAAACCAGGAATTTCATTGTGCTGCACTATGTCCTTGCAAGCCAAAGTCCTGCTTGGGCAAAGAACCTCTTTAGTTCTTTAAACAAATTTGTGTGATGAAAACACATGCATAAATATCACAAATAACAATGGCATGCATATCTCCAACAAAAGAATTCAGGAAGTTGCTTGAAATACAACTTCCTGGTTGAAGCTGCATAGGGTGTTGGAAAAGACCTATTTCCATCACTACATAACTCAATCGGCTGGTTGGTGACATTTTCGGCACGACCCTCTGCCGGCTCTGGGTCTCACCGACCGCTTCCAAGGGATTCAGCACGGGCACACAACAGGCGTCGGTGTTGGCGAAGATCTTCGCCTCAGCTCTCTGGGGACCCTTTGGATGCCTTTTTGGCTGGGGATGGGCAACACAAAACAAGGTGTCCGCATGTTTCCATACTTTCTTGTAGGAGACCATTGAATCATTATAGACCGTACATGACCATACTATTTACATAGCCATCTACTGCCCAACCCAGCGACATGTTCTGGCCGGGCCCAGTCGAGGAACGCTCAGAACTCCAACTTCAGACGAGGTGTGTTCTCCCTGTGGAGAAATGTATATCGTGAAATCATGCACCAGTGGGCTGAGCCAGCGGGCCGTGGTCTTGGAGAATGGCGAGATGTGTCCGAACAGCCTCTCCACATCTCAGACTTTCTTACACATCTCCACGAATCTCAGAGGGCTTTGGACAGCGCCCACACGGGCCCCACGGGCCCATACGGGCCCCATCGGGGGCCCGGACCCACTCATCGCGGGTTTTACTTTGGAAGATCTCCGCAAAGCGTTGCTTCATCTTGGGCCAGGCCTGATCCGTTCAGGGGATCCACATGTAGCAATACAAACAAGCAAAACCTTGGAAGTTTTGAGTTGATCGGTTCTCGCAACTGAAGTGACAAAAATGGACAAAGTAATATTATGTATACCTGGAACTTCCTTATGTGGTTCACAGACCTAAATAAAGGTATGTTGAACCACCGACCAAAAAAGCAACCAGGAGGTCTTTGCTGTCCCCGAAACAAGTTCGTTCCCAGACCCCACCTGTTCGAGTGGTTCGATGGAAGAGTTCTCCTGCGAACACCACGCCACCAGCGGGGTGTAATGACCTCAGGGTGAACTTGATGACCGCAGTTTTTCCTTCAATAGGGGGTACACCTCCCTGGTATAGCTGCTAGGGTTCTTCGTTTATAGTGGGAGGTGTGCCAAACGCCTAAAAAACATCGTACTACATAGAAAAACAATGGTTTGTCGTCAAATCTCAAACACGAATTGAAACTTGTCAAACATCAGCTCATCAGTGATCATCAGTCTCATCGGCATCAACCTCATCTGTCCCGCAAAAGAAAGGCACAGGCCAAACTGTATTTTACAGGATCAGCACTAATAGTACTAACTACCTAGCTAACCCTGCTAGTCCGGTAAGCGCTACCTTTTGCTCTACCTTGAGAGTCAACGCTACGGGGTCCATGGGGATGAGGTGAATTTCAACACCCCCCTTTACAAGGAGCTACCCGTAGGGAAAATCTCGGGGAGGATCAAATTCTAGCGACGAAGGAATCATATTAGAAATCCCTCATCTAGCTCGTGCATGCACTATACAAGGAGAACGTAGCTACCCTAATGTACAGTTTTCGCCTCACTCGGCATGTGGTTAAACATGCTAGGCCCAGGTTAGTGTTAAGCATTGATTAAAAGTTCACTCTCCGACTATGGCAATCCTGTTATGGATGCATTGGGAAGTGAGACAATGAAGTGAAACATCATCTCACAGCGCGTCAGAAGGTGATCTTTATCTCAACACTCATAAGCTGCAAGGCATACCATTTATGGCAGCTATTCAACATCTGCTTAAAGAAATTGTATTCCAAAACGCTCCGTCTCGTCATGCCATCCCTGCCTCAACCACTCCCACAATTCCATGTGATTGGGCCAATAGTTCTCGCCCCATGGGTCATCGCGTTGCCATTGTACTCCAGGAAAATCAAAGGGTTCCAATGGTCGATCAATAGTTCCACGAATGCTGGAAGTCGGCGGCCCAGTTAAGGGTGCATTATGTGACGATGATGCCGAAGCGGATGAAGTTCCGGGTGGCAATGGCGGCGGTGGCACGTTTTGTACATTCCATTGCTGTGGAGCATAAGGTCCTCCTCGAACACTCACCTGCTGCTTATCCTTGCCCTTTCCTTTTACGGAAGGTTGCAACCGACTGTAAAGGTCTGTAAGCGGCGGCGGCTTCGGCGTGAGATTGAAATCTGTCGGCCTTGTATGTACCGGAATGCCACTGGCTGTATTGGGTGGCACTTTCGGTGGAGGAACCTTTGGAGGAGGCACCTTTGTTGGTGGGACCTTCGGAGGTGAAGGTTTTGCTGGACGTGGTTTTGAAGCCGGGGATAAGCCGGCCGTTGGTGCATCATTTGGTGCAGGTGGTGGAGGTGGTGATGCTGGGGCCTCTTTCACCGGTACTGACGGTGGATTGGAAGGAGGCTTTGGGATTGACGGTTTTGCAGGAGTGGATGGTGGAGTGCGAAGTGGAGGACCCAAAAGGTCCTTGGGAATGTTGCCACGCTTAGGTGGAAGGTCTTCACGGCTGCGAGATATTGCACGGGCAACTGAACCACGTGGCGTCCCTTTTGCGGGAGCAGTGGAACCTGACGCAGAAGAACTGCCTTGCCCTTTGCCCTTACCGGCAACATCTCCTCGCACACTGGCATCCCGTTTATGGGAGTCTCCTTTGCCTGATACTTGTCCTTGAGCAGGAGGTGCATTCATACTGAATACCGACGAGGTATGCGTCCCTGTTACGGGAGCTGGCGGCTGAGGCACGCCTGGCGGTGGAGTCCGGTTGTCAACCCAAGTTGCAATACGACCAGATTGATCTCGGTCTTCTTTCCTCCTCCACTGCAGCCTCGGTCGTTTGTCTGCATCTCCAATAGTCTCCATATACATCTGCGATCGCTTCCGCGTCAACGGGGGCCTTGTTACAGGTCCTTGAGGAGATGGGGATCCACGCTGTCCAAACTCCAACAAAAGTTCTTCCAACCTTCTGACTTCGTCATATGACATGTCCTGGCCACAATCGGCAAACTTGGGATAAGGCGTGGCCATGCGCTGTTCGATGTTCATGAAGCCCATCTGTGAAACTGGCTGTCCACGATCGCGTCCCTGCATATTTGCAGACTGTTGCGCGTTTCTCTGATATTGAATGTTTGCATAACTTTCATTCTGCTCTGCAAACTCACTCAAAATCTTGTAAATGCCTGTCGTGTCTCCACGAGGAATACGAATTGAATGAATATCGCCATAGACGTCCGTCGTGGGGATAAAGCCCTGGATCTTGATCTCATCTCGGCTATCGCCAATTACGGCGGCGTATTGTCGGAGTGACATAAACTCTCGGCGATAACTGATCAGAAAGTTCTCGTCGACGCCTTGCTTGAAACAGGTATGTAGGTTGTCAACACCGCATCGAATATACGCGAGCTTGGCGAGGTCAACCCTGTCCAGTCGATCCAAATCACTGACAACCGACTTCCCTTTTGATCTCTGCTTCGCTGATCTCGTGGGTGCCGGTAATCGCAGTGACGCAAACAAGTCTTCTTGCGCTGCATCAAACGCTGTGCATCCTTCTCCGGTTAAGGAGGTGGCGAAGACGTCGTCGCGGTTGAATCGATCGAATACATTCTCATACCCTGATTTCAATGCTTTGCGAAGGCGACTGCGAGCTGCAAGAATAATCTGACTGTCAACTGACGGGCTGCCACGAGCTGGAGGTCGTCCAGACTGTAGGTCCTGCGCGGCAATGCTGTCAAGCATGCTTGTTGCGGTCATGTTCTTGGGCACGCCCCCCTGCTCTTGTAGCACCTTTGCACGCCTCATCTGAAGTCGCATAAACTTTGAAATCGGTCCATCTGTTGTATTGCTCTGAAATACTACTCCGCATCGATGACAAGATGCCATTCCTGCTAAGGAAAGTGTCGTACATTTATCGCAGCTGAAAGTTCGAAGATGTAGAAAATATCCACTCTCGATCTGTGGTACAGCTGTATTGCGATTTGCCTCCATCTCTTCCTTCTTTGCGGCACTGCTGCTAGCTGTGCGTTCTTCGGGAGTGGCGTCGCTTGTACCTTCCAAAATGGTGCGTACTTCCGACACTTTTCCCGGGACCAATGTCACATCATCTTGCGGAACACCGACCTCAATGTTCGAAGGATCCAATGCCTGCGGCCTCGAATAGAAAACTTCCGGCTCCGCATTTGCGCGGGCTCGAGTTGCAAATAGAATACACGTATTCGGAACGTGATGGCTGGTAATCACCGCGCCGGAATTTGTGAGGAAAAGATCAACTCCTGCTTCAATCACATCCGGTGTTGAAAAACAAATCTCCACTGGTCGGTCAGCACGAACACCAGATATCGCCTTCTGGTTTCCCAGAGGTTGTGTTGAAAAGAAGGAATTGCCTTTGCTTTTCGGTCCACCGGCTCCACCGCCGGGAATGAGCCCGCTCGCAATAATGGATCGCGCAGCACCTTCATGCGTTCGGTGGTAAAGCCGAGGTGGTATATCGCGGTTCCCGTGCGCTGTCAAACGAGCATTGTACCTGTGTACATGGTCAGGACGGCAGTAGATTAGTACTGCTAGCACTTCATTTGATCGCGTCTCGAGAACGTCGTCGGTGTGGCCTTGTCCACATCGGATCTTGACGGGGGCGGCGAAAAGTTCGAGCTGCTCGTTCACACGAGAGTCGTACACGCATTGAAATTCGAAACGATCTTTGTTGTCATAAATAGCCATCGAAATCAACTCAAAAACATTCATAGAATCAGCATAATCAGGGAATTTGGCCTTCGCCAAATCTAGTAGTTTGTAAATTGGCAAATAACACGCCGGATCATAAATACTGACGTCTGGGACGTGTCCACGAAGAAGACCAGAAATACCGCGACGAACATGATATGGCCAGGAGCAGCACCACTCCCAAGGCCCATGATGATAATCCTCATATACATAATAATACCTATGGCCAGTAACGTGGTACAGCACGTACTGCTTGGCGTCGCGGCCCAGCTCATCCTCGAGGAGTTGGATGTTGCCATTCCCGATGGCCTTGAGTAGGTGATCCGGGTAAGGATACCTTCCGAGAACCTCTTCAACCTCGACCTGCATATTTTTGTACTCGGGGTTAGGCTTCGTCTCGCGAACGAGAACGCCCTTCCCTTTTCCAGAAAATTTCAAGTCGGGGTTGTCGTTGTTCTCAGGTGCAAGAAAGCTCCCCGTTACGGGAGCGACCGAAGGGGTGCCTTGTCCCTGCCCTTTGCCTCGCAATCGCGGCAATGGTGGTCTCGGGTCAGATGAAGACGCTTGACCCTCTGCGGGTTGGTCCGCGTCCGTAGGGATCATAGGAACATCTCCGGTTGCACCTTCTTCAACAGTCGTTTCATCATCAGCCAAAACATCAAGAACCTCGGCCTCGATCTTCGCCATCTGTGGATCAGGTTCTGGTGCTGTCGGCAAGGCATTTACGCCTGCGATACCAGTATCAGGCCCAGGTACTTCGTCGGTTGCGCCTGTATAGCTATCGGGCATCTCAACGTCCGCGTCGGTTTCCTCAACCTTCGGCTCGACTTTTACGTCGGCTGTCGCAACGTCATCCATCGGCTCGTCTTTTACGTCGGCTGTCGCAACGTCATCCATCGGCTCGTCCAATGCGGGCTGTTCCTCCGGTAGCTCAATAACAGGTACAACATTGACAAACTGCAACACATCTTGAGGATCTTCGCCTTCCAGGTTAACGGAGGC